GATATACCATGCCAACAGAAATGAAAAAAGAGGGGGTGTAGCCATCTTAATATTGGACAACATAAACTTTACCACAAAAACTGTTAAGAGAGACAAAGAGGGACACTATATAATGATTAAGGGATCAATACAACAAGAAGATATAACAATTATCAATGTATATACACCTAACTACAGGGCACTGGTTTATCTAAAAGATTTGTTAAGGGACTTAAAGGGAGACTTAGACCCCAATACCATAGTACTGGGGGACTTCAATACTCCACTCTCAGAAATAGATCAACAGGACAGAAGCTCAACAAGGATACAGTAGATTTAAACGACACTATAGCCCAAATGGATGTAACAGATATTGAAGAGTTAAAATTGTATATGTGCGGGTGTAAAAAGTTAAGCTTAAGCTTACAGGTTTAAACCTTCCTGGTGCAGCTGTGAAAATAAGACAGAGTAAAGTAGCACCTTGACAGTAGGGACTCCATTTTGGAGCACTTGAGACTGCATTCTGGGAAAGCAACCCCCCCCCCCACCGTGAGACTCTGGTCTGAAACTATGATCTCAAATAGTCGGACAATAGCAGTGCACTACATCACCCGTGGCAATGCACAAAACCCCCCTAGCATGATTGCTCAAGCTTAAAAGTAGAAAAGTTGTTACCTAGGCTAATAATGAAGATGTGATTTGTCTATGTCTTAAGATCATAATTGCTGATTGTAAGATTTTAGCAACCGCTTAGCAACCGTGTATTCTCTCCCTCCTCCCGATTTTGCAGTTTTTGCCTTTATAAACCCTATGCTGTAGTTCCTCACTGCTCCTCTGTCCTTGTCAGAGGTCCCCAACATGTTGGATCAATAAATTTAACCCTTTGCTGGTTGCATGAGAGAAAAAGTCTCCTGGAGTCGTTCCTTGGGCGGTGGGCTTTTTTGGACCCTAACAATATTTTTTTTCAAAATATGCATTTTTGTAAACTTTTTGATGACCCCTTGTATGGATTTCAAAATTTCCATTTCACCAAAATAGATTTCTCTTTTAATTCCATCTTCCAAACACTTTTTGAAGTACCTTTGTATATCTACAAACATACTCTATTGGTTCTGTGCCTCTGAAGAAACCTGATACACCATCTTCTCATGTTGAGTCAATTTCCTGTACAAGTAACCAGCTTAAAGATCTCATCTAAATCTTACCTGTAGGTGCTTGTCTTTTACTTCCTGGTCTGTGTGTGCTAGCCATTCTCTGAGCCTTAGATGAGTTAGGCAATTTCTTAAAATAATTCAAGCCACTAGGCTTGACTAGCAAAGGCACCCCCATCATTTTTTCTTTGTGTCCTCATTTATCTCATAACTAGAAAGACTACAAAACTTTGAAACAGTCCATTGAAATGCTTATATTTGGGCAAGAGAAGCCATCATTTTAGTCATCCCTTGCAACAACAGTCTAATTTGATTATTTAGATGAATAATATCAATGTTATTATTAATAATAATGTTTAGATGGCCGAGGTTCAGCAGATGATTGATAAAAACTAACAGTGCAAACTCAAAAAGCCTAATGTTGAGTCCAGAAGAAATAGGTATTGAAAGTAAAAGATAACTTATGAAATTTTCAAACTAGCAAATTCATATGGATTTGAAATGAAAGAAGTCTGCAATAAAGGACAACAAATGAGAATAAAATGTAGTCTTTGAAAAATAAAAATATGATTGCTGAATTTAAAAATCCAATTAAAAGGTAGAAATAAATAAACAGAAGGAAATAATTCAGAATATAATCAGAGAAAAAAAAAACAGTTTGAAATTGTGATGCATGTAGCATTGGTTGTCAATAGACAGCACATTTTTAAAAGTTAACGTTTTGATTTTGACAGGTGAAACGCCATCCTTTGAGTGCCCCTAGGTTTAAATATAGATATCTTTTTTCTACTTCTTAAGTCATTTACAAAATTTCAAATAAACAATAGAAACTCATAATAATGCAAGTCTTACACTTTTTTTTTTAACTTTTATTTAATGAATAGAAATTTCCAAAGTACGACTTATGGATTACAATGGCTTCCCCCCCACACCGTCCCTCCCACCCACAACCCTCCCCTTTCCCACTCCCTCTCCCCTTCCATTCACATCAAGATTCATTTTCGATTATCTTAATATACAGAAGATCAGCTTAGTATACATTAAGTAAGGATTTCAACAGTTTGCTCCCACACAGAAACATAAAGTGAAAAATAATAGATGATTTTTTTTAAATGATGATGAAATCAGATCAGACCTATTGTCATGTTTAATCCCAGTGAGAGTCAAGTTGGGAGTTGATAATTTCTTTTTTTTTTTTTTTTTTACAGAAGATCAGTTTAGTATGCATTAAGTAAAGATTTCAACAGTTTGCACCCCCATAGAAACACAAAGTGAAATATATTGAGTACTCGTTATAGCATTAAATCTCAATGCACAGCACATTAAGGACAGAGATCCTACATGAGGAGTAAGTGCACAGTGACTCTGTTGTTGGACTTTAACAAATTGACAACTCCTGTCTATGGCATCAGTAATCTCCCTATGCTCAGTCATTAGTTTCCAAGGCTATGGAAGCCCTCTGAGTTCTCCGACTCTTATCTTGTTTAGACAAGGTCATAGTCAAAGTGGAGGTTCTCTCCTCCCTTCAGAGAAAGGTACCTCCTTCTTTGATGACCTGTTCTTTCCACTGGGATCTCACTCACAGAGATCTTTTGCCAGAGTGTCTTGGCTTTCCATGCCTGAAATACTCTCACGGGCTTTTCAGCCAGATCCGAATGCCTTTAGGGCTGATTCTGAGGCCAGAGTGCTATTTAGGACATCTGCCATTCTATGAGTCTGCTGAGTATCTCACTTCCCATGTTGGATCACTCTCCCCTTTATTTATTCCATCGGTTAGTGTTAGCAGGTACTAGACTTGTTTATGTGCTCCCTTTGACTCTTAATCCTTTCATTATGATCAATTGTGAACTGAAATTGATCACTTGGAATAGTGAGATGGCATTGGTACATGCCACCTTGATGGGATTGAATTGGAATCCCCTGGTATGTTTCTAACTCTACCATTTGGGGCAAGTCAGCTTGAGCATGTCCCAAATTATACATCTCTTCCTTCTCTTATTCCCACTCTTATGTTTAACAGGGATCACATTTCAGTTAATTTTCAACACTTAAGAATAACTGTGTATTAATTACAGAATTAAACCAGTCATATTAAGTAGAACAGATAAAAAAAAAAAAACTACTAACAGGGATAATGTATTAAGTTGTTCATTAACAGTCAGGGCTATGCTGATCAAGTCACCGTTTCCCATAGTGTCCATTTCACTTCAACAGGTTTCCTTTTTGTTGTTCAGTCAGTTGTCACCAATCAGGGAGAACATATGGTATTTGTCCCTTTGGGACTGGCTTATTTCACTCAGCATGATGTGTTCCAGATTCCTCCATCTTGTTGCAAATGACTGGATTTCGTTGTTTCTTACTGCGGTATAGTATTCTAAAGAATACATATCCCATAATTTCTTTATCCAGTCTACCGTTGATGGGCATTTAGGTTGGTTCCAGGTCTTAGCTATTGTGAATTGAGCTGCAATAAACATTAGGGTGCAGACCGCTTTTTTGTTTGCCAATTTAAATTCCTTTGGGTAAATTCCAAGGAGTGGGATGGCTGGGTCGAACGGTAGGGTTATCTTCAGGTTTCTGAGGAATCTCCAGACTGACTTCCATAGTGGCTTAACCAGTTTGCATTCCCACCAACAGTGGGTTAGTGTCCCTTTTTCCCCACATCCTCGCCAGCATCTGTTGTTGGTAGATTTCTGCATGTGAGCCATTCTAACTGGGGTGAGGTGAAACCTCATTGTGGTTTTGATTGGCATTTCCCTGATTGCTAATGACCTTGAACATTTTCTCATGTGCCTGTTGGCCATTTGGATTTCCTCTTTTGAAAAATGTCTGTTGAGGTCCTTGGCCCATCTCTTAAGTGGGTTGTTGGTTTTGTTTTGTGGAGTTTCTTGATCTCTTTGTAGATTCTGGTTATTTGTTTTTTTAATTTGGGAAATCAATTTTATTTTTAAATTTTTTAAAAAATATTTATTTATTTATTTATTTGAAAGGCAGAGTTGCAAAGAGAGGAGATTCAGAGAGTGATCTTTCATCTGCTGGTTCACTCACTAAACGGCCGCAATGGCCAGGGCTGGGCTAGGATTAAGCCAGGAGCTTCATCCAAGTCTCCCATGTGGGTGGCAGGGGCCCAAATATTTGGACCATCTTCTGCTGCTTTTACAGGCACATTAGCAGAAAGCTGGATCAGAAGTGGAGCATCAGGACTCGAACCGGGATCCATATGGGATTCTGGCATCATAGGCCTTTGGGCAACTTAACCCATTGCACTACAATGCCAGCTCTGGGGAGCACAAAACACTGAACTATGATTAGAGAAGAAAATAAGTGCTGGTCATGCAGCTCTCTTAGATCAGTGCTAATTTTTTCTCATTTTCTGCAAGCTTCTGACATATGGCTCTCTTGAGATCCTTTCTTCCATTAAAGTCAACAGCTAGCCTCTCATCATTTGACCACATCCTGAGTTAGTATTCTAAACACTTCAGGAAAGTCTCAAAATTTGTCTCTAGAAAAGTCTCTAGTTAATTGTTTGCTATCCACCACACCTGCTTTTGCTCAGTCCTTCATCAGCTCAGTCTGTAAACTCCATGTATATATTTCCCTCACAGTAACTTTTTGGCTGTGTATTCCTCTTTCCTTCTACCTACTCACCTAACACATTCTCAGTCTTAGTATTACTCAAGTGTCTGTCGCTTCAAGTCCTGTACCCAGTGGCTGGAGAAAAAAATTCCAAACAGTGTAGAATTAGTTATCAGTTAATTCCAGGAAATGCATTTTTCCAGTATGTTTCTTCTCACAATTCCCAAAATGATTTTGATATAAATTCTTTCTTTTCAAATTATCAATACTTCCTCTCATCCATTCTCTCTCTAGATGGCCTTGCCCAATACTTCCCTGGTAAATGAAAATATCACCTCTCCAGTGAGTATATCATTTCTTTACTCCCCTTCCCAACTACTTAAAATTTTATTTCTGGTTGACGTATTTTAATGTGACGTATTTATCAAGTGTAGTGTGATGTTTCCATACACATGTATGTTGGGTTATGATAAAATCAAGGTAATTAGCATAGTCATCATTTGAGACATTTATCCTTTCTTCCTGGTGAGAATGTTCAAAATCCTAAACCTGGCTTCTCTCGTGCCACCACAGCTCAGTAACAGCATTACCTACTGTCCAGGTTCTAGAACTTGGCTTTATTCATGGACTCATATCTGGCTTCTGATTCTTCTGTAAGTTCTGAAAGCTCAACCTTTAAAACATATCCAAGTAGGTCCAACTGTCATGATACTAACTTAAACGAAGGCAATAATCTTCCCGGAGGTGTCTCTGATGCAACACCTGCCTGTCCACTCACATCTGCTGAAGTAGATGCCTGGAAATGTACATCAGACCATGTCCCTGCGCATTCACATCATGCTTCAACACTCCAGAGAATTCTCATTACATGAAGATGCCCTATATTATCTGACTTCTGTCACTACACAGACCTCATTTCTCTTGCACACTCCATTCTGCTTGTCCCTTTGTTTGTCACTCCCCCAATTAGGCTACTCCAAAAATGTGGAAACAACTAGGCTTTTTTTTTTTTTTTCAAGATTTATTCTATCTGAAGGATAAAGTTAGAGATCTTCCATCCAAGGATACATTCCCCAATAGCCAACAACAGCCAGGGCTGGGCAAGATCAAATCCAGGAGCCAGAAATTTCCTCCTGGTTTCCTGTGTTGGTGGCTGGGGCCCAAAAAGTTGGGACATTTTTTACTGCTTTCTTATGTACATTAACAGGACTCTGGACTGGAAGTAGAGCAAGAAGGACTCAAACCAATGCTCATATGGGCTGTTGGCATCACAGATGGCAGCCTAACTCACGACACCACGACAATGGCCTGAAACAACCAGACTTTTTAAAACATATGTCGTGTGATTACAGAAGATATTAATATTAGGGGAAGATCAGCTTATTACCTTTGTAAATTTTCTGTAAACTTACTCCAAATTAAAAAAAAAAAAAAACAGGAGCAGATGAAAGCATTAGTACCTTAGAAATATGGTGATAAGGTAGGTAAATGTAGTTTTTATTTATATTTTGCTTACTAATTTACTTTTCCCGATATGTAAGGGGTAGTGATGATGATGCTTAAAAGAACAGTGTTTTTTTTTTTTTTTTAATTTTTTTTTTTGACAGGCAGAGTGGACAGTGAGAGAGAGAGAGACAGAGAGAAAGGTCTTCCTTTGCCGTTGGTTCACCCTCCAATGGCCGCTGCAGCCGGCCCACTGCGCTGATCTGATGGCAGGAGTCAGGTACTTATCCTGGTCTCCCATGGGGTGCAGGGCCCAAGCACTTGGGCCATCCTCCACTGCACTCCCTGGCCACAGCAGAGAGCTGGCCTGGAAGAGGGGCAACCGGGACAGAATCCGGTGCCCCGACCGGGACTAGAACCCGGTGTGCTGGCGCCGCAAGGTGGAGGATTAGCCTAGTGAGCTGCGGCGCCGGCCCAAAAGAACAGTGTTAATAACAATGATTATGATAAATAAGAGCTTAATAACAAAACTTTCTGTTTAAACAACTTCAGTGAGGCACAATTTACATATGATAAACTATACCTATCAATTTATAGAAATGTAGAAATTAAAATCACCTCCCTTGGGCAATTTTAATGTTGTACTTATTTTTAAAATACATATATACATGTATATGTATATATATGTAAGTAGCGTATATATGTACGTGTATATATATATATACATGTATGTGTATATATATGTAAGTAGCACCTGTGAATATGTTTGAGTAAAGGTCATCATTTATGAGATAAGAGGGAAGGAGGAAGAAAGGAAGGAGGGAGGCCGGGAGGGAGAGAAGGAATTGATTGGATGTACAAGGTAGGTCCTGGTTGTGCTTGATGTTCCAATGAGTTTTATGTGGTGAAAAAACAGAGGAACAGTGAGAATCTTCAGGGCTGAATTCAATAACATGATCCATGTCAACTGGAGCAGTACATCAGCTGGCTGCTACTTTCCCTGAGAGAGATCTAGATCCCAAATGAACACCACTAAGAGGCAGATACATTGTTAGGACTATGATCTAAATAGTGGGGACACTAGCAGAGCTACAGGCCATGGTGTAAACTGGCAAGCAGAACAGAGATCCATGCAAAGCAGAGTTAAAATAAGATCAGATAAACAGAATAAGAATTAGAAGGAAAGTTCCCACAAATCTCTGGTTAGTTTTTTTATGCTAACACAGTAAATTGCCACAGTATGATGGCTTAAAACTACATAAATGCATTACATTGCATTTCTGTGGGCCAGAAGTCTTGCACTCATCTCACTTAATGAAACCCAAGGTATGGACAGGATCACATTCAGTTTTGGAGGCTCTAGGAAAAAATCTTCCTCACTATTTCCAGCATCTAGTTGATAACAGCATTTCTTTGTTCACCACTTTTTCCATGTTCAAAGCCAATATCAGAAAGTCCTTATGCAGCCATCTCTCTGGTTCTCTTCCATCATCCTCTCTCTTTCACTCCCTCTCCTCTTTCCCCCTTTTCTCTCCCTCTCTCCCTCTCTCACTCCTTTAGTCTCTCACTAAGATTAATCCAGGTCAGTTTTCTCCTCCCAAGGCCCATAATATTCATCACATTTGCAAATATGTCTTTGCCACATAAGGTAACATCCACACAAGTTTCAGTGTTTAGAGGATAATTATTCAGCTTCTGATGCCTCTCGGGACTCTAAAATTTCTAAGTTCCTGGCCGCTGGGCTTCCTGCAGAAACTCAAGTGCCTATTTTTTGGGGGGAGGTCCTATTCCTGCACTGATCCAGATGCTACTAGGGCCTGGGGATGTTTCCATTAAGTGCCCTTCCTAAAGGCCTATGAATGAGTCAGGTGGGTGGGCTGACACAGAACAAGCATGGTGATTAAACTGAAATGTTTGAAATGTTGCTCCTCTTTATCGTGTTAAAAATATAATATTTAGAAAGATTATCTGCTACCTTTATATGAGGTGGCTTTTTATATCTAATTCTCAAAGCAACCTGGTAATTATGAAGATGAGAACCACACAATGAAATTTAATTTCTTGAGGATAATAACAAGGGGAAAACTTTCTCTATTTTTATTTTCAAGGATTGAAGATTATTCCTTCCCATCCTCCTTTGCAGTTTCCAGGCTATGCTCCCATAATGGATTTTTATCTGTTTTATAAGTAATTTCCTTAATATTTCAGTGGCCACAGATAGCCGGGATTGTACGTCTTCTCAGGAAACATATTTCATCAGCGCTGTCACAGTCTAAAATCTTAGAGCTTGTAGACTGATGTTTCTGCCCCTTCTTGCTATCAGACACATAGCACAAAAATAAATGTGTTTGTCTATTGGAGACTTTAATGAAATTGAAAATGTAGTAACATTTTTCAATGTCAATAAGCTCATTTTCTTGTTTAGATGCTAATGTTGGTTTTTCCTGGGGATTCCATCTTCTAATTGTGAGTCATGATTTCATTCTCTCGGTTCAAATATCCTATTCTTCAGTATGGCTTGACTTATGCTGAGTGGTTTTCAGCTCCAGATAGGACAGAGTATTTTTACTTGCCTGCGACTGTTAACAGAAGTTGAGAGTGGAAGGGTAAATGACGCATTTGAGCTTTATCAAATGTATTAAAATGTTGAGGACTCATTATGTTCACTGTGCTGAGAGCTGAGCATACTCTGTATCGCTGGTACTATGCTTATTTGCTGTTACTATAATTATATTTGTATTTTACACATGGAAAAAGTTAGCTTAAAGGGACGGATCACTTGCCCAAATATTTACAGTTAGCATATTGGGCAAAGTTAGAATCGTGTCTACATTTGACTCCAAACTTCTACTGGCTTCTACTACCACTCAGTCCTCAATTCTACTGCCCATATTCATCCTATTACAAGGCTGGGGAAGACCTACAAAGGAAGGAATGTTGTCCCTTCACTTCTATCTCTATTTGTTTCCCAATCATATTTGAATTTTACAGTTTGGCAACTCAACAACCTTTTTCACTAGGCTAAGACTAGTTTCTTTACACAACTCCAGGGTATCAAAGATTTTGTTTTTGAAATTCCATGAAATTTGACCTTGATGAATTCATGCTATTTTGAGCCCCTTTGGCACTCAGCCTTTCTCCCTGTCTCCTATCCTTACCCCTGTGTAAACATCAATTTTGTTAGTGACTTTCTAATATCTTTGAACACCCCTTCTATTTAAGGATGTACCTGTCACTACGGACCCTCGCTGCCAGACACTTAATCTAAATTCTTTCCCTCATCCTCCATGGTCTTTCTGGGTGCAGCCAAGGGATCTAAGTCACCTATAAGATATATCCATGAAAAGATCCTTTGCGCTAGGGAAGTAAGATAGAAATTCACTTTTCTCTAATTGAAAAATAAGATTCCACTACCCTGGACTGATGTGAAACCTCTTTTCTAAGAAGGTCACAAGGACATGAGTTCCTTTCAATTGATACTTTCACAACCCTACAGAGTATCACTATCCCAAAAGCTGCCACCTAGTACTTCTGACTCTTTTGCATTGGCCAAAACTTAGCCACATGGCCTCGTTTTGCTTCAAGAGAGGCTGGGAACTGTAGCTGTACTCTCAGCAGCTGGCCATGTAACCAATTAAAAATGTTTTATTTCAATGGGAAGAGAAAATATTTGTTTCTTGGGGTCCAAGCAGCCATCTTTCCTACAAAGGCAATGATATGACATTGATATTTGCTGAATCTTTTTTTTAAATTGGTGTTTCCAAATAATTCCAAGCATTTGATGACTCAGAAGCATGCAATCCCTTGATCTTGAGCTTGAAATGTATAAGCTGTCATATTCTGAGGAGCTGAGGTGCAGGTGACACATGTTGACACAGTAATATTTACTGGACATTGCT